AAGAATATATCGATGTTGGATAGAAGCAAAAGTTCGATAGAAAAGATTTGAATTGCGCAACATGTTGGCACGAAGGGTGTGGATTGGAAGATCCCTTTTTATTTCTTCTTGATGCTCGTTATATTTAGAATGAAAATAAATCAAGTGAGAAAAAGAGAGAGCATTATATAAGAGAAAATAAACCATCAAGGAATGCGAGTTGCATAAACAAATATCGATAAAAACGAAATGAGTCAAGGAACATAACATACGACAGTAACATACCTCCCACCAACAGAAATGTGGGTCCGCACACATTAGAAGATACAGGTATAAGAAACGAAAAAGAAAAAGATAAAGAAACAACACAAAAAAAAAACAACAACTGCATAATAAACGCAAAAAGTGAATAAGGTTAAGGCGAGCAATAAACCAATTAAGGGTGTGAGTGTGGACGTGAGTAGGATTCTTCTAGTTATCTACGTCCACACCCACACACACACTCACACCCACACCCACACCCCACACCCACACCCACACACCCCACACCCACACCCGCAGTTCACACCCACACCCACACCCCATTTTCGCTTTATCATTATCTCCCTACAAATACTTACGGAAACTTTTTTCATTTCTAAGGAAACTTAAATAGAATATAGTTTATTGAATTATATATTGTGAAAGAGAAATAGAAGAAAAGAAATCGATGTAAAATAAATAAGAGGTGCGAATGTTTATTCGAAAGTCAAACTAACTGTTTCAACGACCACATTTTTCTTATGGTGGATCTATACACATCGTTATAATGCACTACAAAAGTTGTTAGAAAACAAATAAGGTATGAGTGAGATATTTTTTAAAGAAAGGGTTCAATAAAGTTAATCGTCCTCTGTTCCATGTTCAGTCGCTGTTGAGACGGATGTGCCGTCATGTCTTTCTTTATGTTTGACTAAACGTATTTCTGGCATGAACATGATTTCCACTGCTGGCATTTGTGTGCTTGTATCTTTATTAGACGTATCTGTCGATTCGACACTGTCGTTTGGTGTATTCTTTGGCTCTATAGATCTGAAAGAAAAGTATGATAAAAATTTTATAAAGACATACAACTTACGAATTTTTTTCGTCCGTGTTATTGGCTGTTTGCTTATATTTGTCCTCCATATGCAGATAGATGAAAAAATGATTGACGAAAGAGAAAAGTAAGACGAAGTGAGTGAATAAAAAAAATGTTTTGCTGTCGTTTTTTTCATTTATTTTTGCAATAACTGACGAACTATTGGTTCTTACAGTACACAGAAAGAATAATTAAGGGAAAGATAGAAAACAAAAAGGATGGAAAGCAAGAAAAGTAAACGAAAAAGAAACCAAAAAGAGAGAAAAACAAAAATAAATAATAAACATAGAGATATTAGTACAATCATATGAAAGTCTAACAAGAAAAATTACATTCGACAAATCGCCACCTTGTTGATTCCAGCCACAATGAGAGAGTTATAGAACATAAGATACAGCAAGAAACAGAGTAATCAGTACTTTTACACGATACCGTCAGTTTTGCTCGTTTGCAAAAACATTTTAAAAGAGATTAAGTTCCTTTCCTTGGAAACCTTCCACAGTGGGGACGTGGGTTCGTGTGGGTGTAGATATGGTTGTGGATGTGTGTGAGGTTGGAGTGCGTTGTCCAACCAGCCATGTCCACACATTCACACTCACACCCTAATTGCATAGCTCTCTTCGCCATTATTTCTTTATTTTCACGCCTCATTTATGTCAATAGATGAAATTATTCAGGTGTGACAATGAAGAAATGGTTGACTGCCGAACTGTGCTATTAATTTTCATCTTTGTCATTCATTTTTCAATTACTAATGATTGTCTGAAAAATAATAGGTCTCTCAGCATTTAGAGAATATCTCTTTTAATATTCGTTTGTTCAGATTTTATTTCCCTTATAACAGGTTCCTCTTTTAACTCTTTAGAAGCTGATATGCTTTTTTATACAAATAAAAAATATCTATCTATTATTTCAAAGCGTGCATGAAATGAATAATCTGCGATAAATAGTTTTGTATATGTAGTGGTTTGCAAGAAAAACTTGTGTTAATATTTTTTAAGAAGGTTCTGATAGGACCCATGCATCTCTAGTGGTTCCATCATTGTTCGACAGCCTACCAAGAACACCATGTGTTGATGTGATTTGAATTCATTTTTATCAACTCTCGAGATATAATGGAGAGCAACCATTGGTTATATTGAAAGTCAGAAAAAAGATTACCTGATAATGCGATGGTCTTGTGATAAAGTTGTACTAGCGTCGGAAACAGAAATATTGCGTGGAGAGGGGGATGTAGAAAAATTCTCCAAGAGGTAGTACAAAAATTAAAAAATCTCATTTCTTTTTGCTGACAGTAATGGAAAACTTTTGAATTATTGGGGATACACAGCTTCTCTGCTTCTGCAGTCCCTTCGAATACGTTGGGAATGTCGTACCAGACGTCTACTTCAACTATCTTGACCTCGGTAGTAGGAAAAACATTGTAGTTCTATGTCATTAAGAGTGAGCTTTTTAATGTTAAAGTTCAATCTTAAATTAGAACACTTTCATTCTATTCCATTTTGTCACCCAAACGGTACAGCATTAGTTATTGTACAGTCTATACAGGACATATCAACGGGTGTGTGTGTGGGTGGGTGTTCCTTTTGTCTTTAATCATATACACTCCACCCACCCCTTCAGTGTTTTGATGGTTATTGGAAAATAGCTATAATATATTTGTTAAAGTTCTTAATAGTGTAATCGTCGACTTGTTTTAGAATTTAAACTTGTATATTAAAAATCAAGAATGAAGAGTAGTAATATATATTGATCTGTCACAGCACTTATATAATCAACATGAGAAGCATGATTCGATCTTTTTCTCAGTTTGGAAAGTAAACTATATCACCATTTATGGATTGATTGAGATATATAGTGGTGTAGTTAGAGCTACTGAGGCATATAAAGTGCATTATTGTAATTGTCTTATTTGTGAAATAGTGTATGGTGAAAGAAAATAATTTCAGATTAAAGAAAAAACAAAAAAATGACTATTATCGAGTATATAGCAACAATTATAAATGAAATCGGGAGCTCTCAAACGAAAAAAAAAATTTTTTTCTATTTTAAATGTAGAAATAATAAATTCTTGCTCATGTCATCAATTATTAGTGAAAACGATTACAGTCGACAGCAAACTTTTCAGTTTACAGATGATATATTCGGATAACAAGGTTTAAGGATATACGTGAGTTCCACATTTCAGCTCCAAAGGAGCTACGCTAACAAGCTTTTTTACTCTGATATTATCGTTCTTTAATTTGAGAAATAAAGTAATCAGTGAAAAAAATTCAGAAAGCTTGATAAAAAACGTGTTAACCGATTATTCCATTCGTCAAGAAAGAACTTTCTGATTGCCATCGCTGTTGTTTTACAATATTATCCACGCATGTTTTCGTTTCATTTTCACCGATTAATGCATCACTCTTGTTCGTCATTGCTCAATAATAAGATGCAATTTAGAATCGAAAAATCAATCGAATAACTTTCAGAATCTCGGAAGAATATGAGTCGACTTTTGTCAATGCTAAGCGATGCATCTATTTTTATCATTTAGATATAACAATACAAATTTCATTTATATTTCGTCTCTTGAAGAGCATCTCGACATATTTGGCCTCTAGCTGGGTTTATACGTACGAGAGAACCTCACCAATTGATACTCTGTTTGGATAAAGTTACTGAACGTCGAAAAGGTCCAATACAGAAAATTGATATAGTTTTTCTGTCTGTAAAGGTGTTTGTTTCAGTTGGACTTTTTGTCGAGATTGATTCAAATGAAAATGTATGGATAAAAATGATCTTTTTCATCAACAAACGAAACTGAACAGTATGTTTGTTTGTGACAGTTTACACAAGATGACGCGGCAGGTAAAAACAAAATTGACTTAATTTTGTCGTCATTCGAATTCGTGACAGGTAAAAAGAAAAAAGAAAGCTGCTCATTCTAACAAAATCAGTCTTGTTTGGAGGAATTTCTTGAAAAAGTTAAGTATCGAGAACAATTCGCCGCTAAGAGTGATTTCTCGAGCTTTTCTAGACTGATTAAGGATCAGTTTCTTGTTAGTTGACGATCTTTTCTTGAACAAAATTAACCAGCAACTCGAATAGAGAGGAACCTTCTTGCCGATAGGGTGTGAGTGTGGGGTATGGGCGTGTGATATCGATGTGAGTATTTATGTTGCCGAAGAGAAGACGCACACACACGCACCCGATACATTCTTGTATTCTTGTGTCTTTTTTTGCAATATGTAATCGAACAAATCACATAAAAAAGAGGTTTGTGCGGGCAAGACGGAGAAAGCTTTTTCCGTGGTAGGGCGCGTCGGGAAACATAATATTTGTCAGACTCTCGTTTGTGGAAAATTATGTGGTTCTAGCTTCACGCTATCGGTTATGGCTAGTTGATCAGTATATTTAATCCCGTTCTGCAACGGGAACGAGAGATCTTACGTAAAATAAGTAAACAAGCATATCAACTTTGGTTATATTGATAATGAGATAAGTGATTTGAGAATGTATTTGGTTTATTAATGTAAATATAATCATAAGCATATAATAATAATAATATAATAGTGAAGAATAATATGAAAGTGGAAAAGACAAGGAGAAGATAGATGAATAATATCATGAGGGAGAAGAAAAACAACTTGCGACCAACGGGGAGGAAAATCCACAACAACTGAAGAGAAAAACAATAAGAAAGATAATCACTGGGAAAGTCCAGAGAAAGACATGTTATCCACTAAGAAGATAGACAAGGAACATCAATAGTGGATAAATGGACAGTTAGCAGTAATGGAGCAACCTCTATTGACGCTAATAATATTCTTCCCATTTCGGCCTCTGATACATGATAATTTTATTGAAGAATCAAAAAATGAATACTTATAATATTATAATTTCACACGAGCACTATTCAGCTAATTTCGTTTGTATCTGGTATTTTCGTTACGTGTTGTATCCACCATAGATAAGCAAGTAACGATTCACCAATAATCAAACGTAAACTATATGTTAAACCTAAACATAAATGAATAAAATTTCGATAAAATTCCTTTGTTTATTTACCTCCATACAATCCCAAAATATTTGTCAACATAATTACAGGATTATTTCTATTTGGTGATATATATTGACATTGTAATGGTCTACATGTTTCAAAATAATTTGTATAATTACTAGTATTTTTCCATGATTCTACAAATAATTGATCATTTAATTTTTCTAATGAAAAATTTTCAAATTTCGACAAACGAAATCCATCATATGGAAAACAACCAGTAACAATATCACCGATTAATGATTCACTACAACTTGATGAGATTGCACAACTACAATTCGATGATGAAAAGTTGCGTGTAAATGTTTTCAATATATATTGTTCATTTTCATCAGTAAAATCAATTAGCCAATTAGTTCTGAAACGATGTAATAATTGATTAACCCTAAATGAGCCGACTATAAATGAAAGAGTATGACGGTAATTAGCTGGAATTTGAGAAATAAATGTTGAAATTAACGATTGTATTTGAATATCAAATGAAGAACGGGTTAATGTTTCTACGCTGATTAGTTCAAAAGTATCAAACACTTCTATAGCATTTTCAATAAAACGATGAGATGATTGGCATAATGAGGACAGTAAACGATAATGAGCACTTAATGCTGCTGATATATTATCCTTTTTTTTTCTTACATCAATGATATATGATGAAGAAACATATTCACTTGAACATATTGAATGATATTCTGGTTTTATTGATACAATTTGCGAATACGGAATAGCTACTTTTGAGCACGGACATGAGAGACTTGAAAGATTCCTTCCACGAAGATCGTTGACAGTATTTATTGTTGGATATTTTTTTGTAATAGATTTTGTTTCTTGACTGAATGGACCATAATAAATAATAGCAACAATCAAACATAATGTAAATAAAATTATATAAATGCGAGTGGCTATAATTTCTTGATTTTGAAATCGTTTCTTTACCAAAGATGGATCACTCGCAAATCGATTCAATGATAACAGTTTTTTAAATACTTCATGAGAAACTTCTTGAGTCTTTTTTGACGAAGAAGATGGAGAATTTATCATTGTGTCTAAAATACGACAAACACATACTAAACTGTTTTAAGCTTTTTTGTGGGGCTCATTCTCAAAAGAGATACTTTTTAATACTACTCTTGTGTATTTTGTTAATTACAGCTACTCAATGAATTCTATAGCTACTTAATGATTTCCTATAGCTACCTAATGATGGGGCGGTTGAAGTGGAGAGAATTCATATATTCAAAATTTGAATATCTATTGGGTTCCCAAAAATTTTCGAATATTCATAAAAATAATTTTTTTAATGACATAGTTTGCGCAGGATGACGGTTGAAATGAAGAAAATCAAATATTCATAGTTTTAATTTTAATTGGGTTTATGAAGTAAACTTCGAATATTGATAATATTAATCACTATTGGGTTCCCAAAAATTTTCGAATATTTATAATATTTTTGTTAATGATATAATCTCAGCATTGGGGCGGTTGAATGGAGAGAATTCAAATATTCATAATTTTAATTTTAATTTGGTTTTGATGAAAAATCCAAATATTTAAAATATGAATAGCTATTGGATCCGTTAAAATATTCGAATATTCATATAATGAATCTTTTTAATGATATAGTTTGAGCAGGGGGATGGTTGAAGAAAAAAATTCAAATATTTATGATTTGACTTCGTATTAATGATTAAGTTTCATCATTAGGTTTCTAAAAATACTCAAATAAAAAACTTCAGTACTCACAATTTGAATTCCTATTGGGTTCATAAAAATATTCATGAATTGAATTACTTTTTAATACTTTAATTAGAGCAAGAGGTTCGTCAAAAAAGTCTAAATATTAATAGCTTCAATGTCTATTTGGTTTGTAGAAGAATATTGATTTCTTTAATCTAAATCAGTATAGCGTTTTATGAAATAAAAATTCATGTATTCGTAATTGGAATCCGTATTTGGTTTGTAGTAAAGAATTCAAATATTTATAATTTTGTTTGCCACTTGGTTTTAAAAAAATTCTAAAAATGATGGCTTTTATGGCATATTGGTTTTTCAAAAAAATATTTCGTTTATTCTTCTTCATAATATTATGAGCCATTCAGATATAGATTCTTTGTGAGATTATGATAGGTATTTTAACTATACATAGTAGCGAGAAAAGAAAGAGAGCACAATATTAAGTTTTGAGCCACA